CCGCGGCGCGGCGCCCCCTGGAGTGCGGGAGGAGCAGAGCCGGCCCGGGGCTCCTTGCCGCAGGCCACCGGCACAAGCGCTGCGCTCGTGTCAACCGGTTAGAAAGGAAAATAATTCACGTCACAAAGGAGAAAAAACAAAAAAAAGGTTTTTGAATCTTTATTAAACATTTTGGCATTAAAAGTCCATCCCATCACTTGGAGGGGAAATGAGAGTACGGAACTAAGCTGCAAGCAGGTAACATTCCTTGAGCGTCTGCCAGCAGCTGCTCTTCTATGAAAACTTTCCCATTTTCACTGTCAGAATTTGACAAATGCACCTAAAATTACATCGCAGACCCTGAGGGAATTTTAATTCTCTTCTGGAAAATAAACTTATACAACCGTCAAGTCCGATAGCAGGCTAACCTCAAGGTTTCAATAACAAAATAACAAATTCAAGATTTCCTCTGCAGTTTCTGTCCCTGTTTATGATCTAGACAATGTGAAAACTGTAAAAAAAAAGAACTGAATGGTTCATAAGAGATGAGACAGGAAGTTCATGCCAAAAATGAGAAAAAGTATTAACCAGGTAAGTGGAGTTTATATGCCCTTGTTGCAAAAAAAAAAAAAAAAAAAAAAGCAAACAACCATATTCTAGTATCTTAGACTTAACAAATACAAAGGAGTAAGAAGCAAACCTTTCTGCAAGGACTCAAACAAGGGACTGCAGTGCTGTTTTCCTGAGAGGGACCCGCCCAAGCTGGCCCAAGCTCAAGCCCAGCTCTCCCACTTTCCCAGGCCACCTGCAGCACCAGCAGCATTCCACTGAACTTGCTACCTGGTTTGCACCTTTCTACCCAAATATGCTTCAGAATCTCCATTTCTGAGAAAAATCCTATGGCTAGCTTTGAGGACTGAAAAATCTCAAGGTCTGAGGTTTTTTTTTGCCTTGGGCCACAAAAAGTGAGTCTGCAATTGTGCACAGCCCGAAATAACAGAGCGTGAACCTCAAACAATCTATTTCATCCATGGGTGTTACATGATTTCAGTGGAGGGAGGGGCAGAATACTGTCAAGAAACCTGTAATAGGGAATGACGAAATGATTGCCCAAGATCACCAGACGAGCAATTAGAAAAAGCCAGAAATAGCACCCTCAGGTGCTATTCCCAAACCTCAGGTTTATAGTCTACCTGTTGGCAAGAGGCAGATGTGATCTTTATCTGACTGCAAGGTGGCCCAACCAGGTATCCACACTGTGTAACATGAGGCACATACTTATATGGTTGCTACTAGGGAAGGGAAGAACAGCATCCGTAGCCCAAATTCCCAATAAATTCAGGCTTGAGACAGCATTCACCACTGAATTAATAGGTCTGAGGTTTGAGCTGCTTCATTCACTTAATGCAGTATCAACTCAGAGTTCAAGCTGACACTGTATATTGCACTATTGTAGTGCAGATTGTTTTGGCCCCAGTCCTGCAAATACCGTGCTTAAGTTTCTGCTTTTCCACACGTACCCACAGCAGCTAGCTTTAGTTTACAGCAGACACTTGGTGACTTGCCCATGCTGTCTTTTGTTCTGTCCGTAGAAAGGAAAGGAGATGCTGTAGACTTGGCTGCTGTCACCATCGTTAAATCACAGTTCTCTTTTCTTCCTCTTTCTTCCCTTTCCCTTTCCACTTCAGTCATCCTCACTTCTTTGAAGTGTTGAGCAACAGTTCAGGAATAATACTAGTAACGATAATAACTATACAAATGTAGCTGGCTTGACTATTTTAACTCATTAATATAAAATGCGGCTCAAGAGTTTTGAGGACTAACAGGGCCCAGGAAGGCCTCGACTCGGACTTAGTCTGACACGGGCAGCTGATGTCACGGGAGTTACTGGCAGACTCACATGCAAGCACTGGGTGTTGCGTGCAGGGTGCACAGACCAGCTGGGCCAGAACACGAATATTCCAACTGACCCAAATACTTAAAAAAATGGTATTCCTGCGGAAGTTATTTTTAGCCCAGTGGCAGGAAAGAACAAAGCTGCCCTAGTAGCTGGCATTCTGGAGCCAGCACAAAACGGTCACTCGTGCGCTACGTCGCCAAGAAAGCGGCTGCCAGCCGCAGCGCCACCGCCGGCCAGGGCAGAGCCCCCGCGGCGACCCCGCTCCCCGGGAGCCTTTTGTTTGGC